CAAGCATCCCAACAAGGTCACTATGGCATTGTTCTGGGGGCAGAATGCCCCACGCATGCGGCCAACCAGGAAGCAGAAACTCGTGGCCATTTGGGCATAAAAGAGGCCAGAATTCATCATGTCCAATGGAAGGGACTGGCAGACTTCTGAAGGGGCCATAGAGTCCCAAATGCTAATCTAAAGCTAAACAATAGCTCTCAGAAAAACTGAGAAGTCAATGACACCTATCCTCTCTGCTGTTAATTCTCTTTATTTGCTTCTCCACAGTGACATTCCTGACCACCCAGGGGCTTTATGCAGCTTTTCTTACAAAAAAGTGAGCTCAGAAATGCTGTTCATGACTTAATATGTCTCCATTGGAGGAAGGTCAAGGCTATTAAAGAGGACATCTATGGGGATTTATGGTCAACTAATCTTTGACAAAGGAGCAAAGAATATGCATTGGAGCAAAGAAAGTTTGTTCAATAAATGGTGCTGGGAAAACTGGGTCGCTACAAGCAAAAGAATGAAGCTTGACTACTACCTAACACCATGCACAAAAACCAACTCAAAATGGGTTAAAAAACTAGACATAAGACCTGAAACCATAAAATACATAGAAGGAAATATAGGCGAAACACTACATGACATGCACCTCAAAGACATCTTTACAGACACATCACCCAAAGCAGTGATAGTGAAGGCAAAGATAAACAGCTGGGACTACATCAAATTAAAGAACTTCTGCACAGCAAAAGAGACAATAACAAAAACAAAGAGAAACCCCACCGACTGGGAGAACATTTTGCACACAACACTAATGATAAAGGACTGGTCACAAAAATCTACAAAGAGCTGATGAGACTCAACAAAAACAAAGAAAATAATCCAGTCAAAAAATGAGCAGAAGAGCTAAAATGAAACTTCTCTGAAGAGGAAATGCAAATGGCCAACAGGCATATGAAAAAATGTTCAACATCACTTGTCATCAGGGAAATGCAAATCAAAACTACCATGAGATACCATCTTACACCAGTGAGAATGGCACATATTAAAAAAACAAGCAACAACAAATATTGGTGAGGTTGTGGAGAAATAGGAACTCTTCTGCACTGTTGGTGGGAGTGCAAACTGGTGCAACCACTATGGAGAGCTTTGTGGAGATTTCTTGACCTATTAAACATAGAGCTTCCATATGATCCAGCAATTGCACTCCTAGGTATTTACCCAAAGGACACAGAAACATCCATTCCAAAGAGCACCTGCACCCCTATGTTTATAGCAGCACTGTTTACAATAGCTAAGCTATGGAAACAACCCAAATGCCCAAAAACAGATGACTGGATCAAGAAGAGGTGGTACATATACACCATGGAATCTTACTCAGCATTTAAAAAAGATAAACACATGCCATTTGCAGCAACATGGATGGAGCTGGAAGGGATCATGCTCAGCGAAATAAGCCAGAAAGAAAAAGAAAAATACCGGATGGTCTCACTCATAGCAGGAATCTAGAAAACTTAAATAAGGGACCAGGAAAAAGAATAACTATAAGAAAGAAAATATCAAAATCAACAAACAACTATGAACCTGAGACACTTTATGGAGGGTGGGGGCGGGGAAAGGAGGGCTTGGGGTCAAAATAAGGGGGTTGTAATAGTATGGGGAATATAAAAATAAAATTAAAAAAAAAAAAAGAAGAAGACATCTGTGGGCCTCCCCAGTGGTGCAGCAGGTTGAGCGCAGCGTTGTGAAGCTGTCCACAGCCTCTGCAGTGTGGGTTCGATCCCGGCCGGCCAGGGAGATACCCACATGGTCCGGCAGACCTCTCCTGTCTCGCCCGCTGCTCCCCTCAGCAGTGCCTTCGGTCTGTCTGCCTATTCTGCTCCTCACTCTGTCTCTGGTGAATCCTCTCACCCTCCCGTGGATCTGGCCTATACCCCAGTTCTTGTATAAATAAATAAATCTTAAAAAAAAAAAGACATCTGGAAGAGGGTAATCCTTAACCTCAAAGCTCAAGCAGGAGGACATTTCAGGCTCTGTGACAGCTGGACAGAGAGGTAATTGTTGGTGTTGGGGGATACGGGGGTCTGTGTACACAGCCTGTGTTTGGACACCCTGTTTTCCTGGGAGCCTCAGGGACCCCTGGCTGCCTCCAAGATAGATTATCTATGGCTGCCCAGAGACGAGCCTCAGGGACAAAATAGGTTCTTTTGTTCTTTTACTTTTTAAATTTTCACTTTGAAATAATTTCGGGTTTGCAAAAATACTGCACAAACAGTGCAAAGTATTCTATGTACCCTTCATCTAACATCTCCAAATGTTAACAGAAACACTGTACAATAATGAAAACTGGGAAATTAACATTGAGGCAATGCTGCAAACACACTTTCTTTAAATTTGGTCATCTGTCTCATCAGTGCATTTTTCTATTCCTTTTCTTCATTTAATCAACAATATATATTCTAGGCCATTTGTTAATGCATTTTTTATGGTGTGGCTATAGGGGAGACTGTTAGATTGGTATTAGAATCTCATTCTGTCACTTACAGGTTGCATGACCTTGGATCAGTGACCTCCCTTCTCTGTGTGTCAGTGTCCCCATCTGTGAAATGGTTATAATAAATCATCCCCCACTGTGGTCACTTGTAATGATCCAGCGAGCTAAGGCACATAGCAGCCCAATTAGCCATGGCCACTGAGGTTGCTATTGACACTATTTTGCATAGAGGAAGCTAGAGGTCACACCACATCAATGGTACTGCTGACTTCCCCACATCCAGGCACCATCTCCCTGTAGGCCCCTGTGGAGTCCTCAGCCCGCCTCATACCCCTCCTTAGGGAAGCAGTTCACCTTTTTCAGAAGGTCGATGCAGGCTGCAGGTCAAGATTGAAGTCAATGAAGAGTCAGTCTATGCCCTTCCTCTTGTACTCCTGTGCCAGCACAAACGTGGTGGTTGAAGAACCTGAAGAACTGCTGCAGAATGTGACACCAAAAGCGTGGCTCTGACTCCTGGCTTGTCTCTGGAGGATATGGAAGTCTGGGCATGCAAGGGGCATTTCTGGTTTGCAGCCTCCATTGAGCCTGGTATGTCTGAAATGTGCAAGAAGCCCTGGAGAGCAGTAAACCCTGGACACCAGCTGCCTCCTCCAGAATGGCCCTGATCTAACACCTACATTCCTCGGTGTCCACCTCAGCTTGCTCCTCTCTGGGCTTCTGCTTGAACTTCATGTTGCCAAAGTGCATGATGCCCCCAGTCAGCTTGTGCACTCTGGTCTTCCCCTCAGGACTGAAGCCCAGCACATCCTGCTCATCCCACTTGCTGCCCGCAGATTTCCATACAAAGTCCCACCAAAATTCTAAGAAGGCTTAATTATAGGTGTACGGCACTGGGCTGATTACATGTGTATAGACTGAGAGACAGAAGGGACACTTACGTGATTAGCATAGACTGGTTTTCACGATCTGCAGGGAAGAAAACAACAACAGGAAGCTGTAATTAGAAAACCTTAGAAACTAGATGTTTGACATCACCCTGCCAAACAGTCCACAGCTCCCTTATCCCACCCAACCTGAAGAGTGGCCATAACAGGGCCTCCCCTGTGGCGCAGCAGTTGAGCGCTGGGTTGCAAAGCTGCCCACAGCTTCTGCAGCGCCGGTTCAATCCCTGGCTGCTCCCCGGCCACCGGAGGAGGGTCCCACATGGCGCGCAGACCTCTCCTGCTGCCCGCTGCTCCCCTCAGCAGTGTACTTCGGTCCTTCTGCCTGCTCTGCTCCCTGCTCTGGCTCTGGTGAATTCTGTCACATTCCGTCGCTCCTGACTGATTTTTTAATGGGCCCATACTGATTTTTTAATGGGCCCTTATACAAGCACTATACAGTGCTTGTATAAATAAATAAATAAATCTTTTTTTTTAAAAAAAGAGAGACTTTAAAAAAAAAAAAAAGAGTGGCCATAACAGCCATTGGAGGTCGAGAACCCAAGGGTCCTGCAGGGTCCATGGCTGCCTGCAAGCGACACTATCAATGAAAAGGCCAAGAATTTGCCACGATCTCTGTTCCTACCCGCCCCACCCTGACTGTTACCACCATTCCTAAGTATTATAACACGAAGAGAAATGGTAATAAAATCATGTCATAGGACTCTGCTCTGTGACAGAAATCATTCAGGGAAGAGTACATTGTTAACCTGAGTTACTTCACTTGACCTCCCATGTTTTTGTGACACAGAGTGTGAGGTAAGGCTGGGACTTGCACTCACTCAATATTTAGCTAAGAACTTCAACTGGCGGTGGGGAGGGGATGGGGGAGGTGTCAGGGTCGGGATTGGGTACCACGTGGCTCTAATGCCTTTGGAGCAACAAGGGCAAAGGAACTTCTGTGGCCCAGCATCTCAGTCCCACGTAGCCATGAACATGTCGTGCTTAGCTTTGTCCAAGATGGAGAAGAGGTGGGGCGGCATCTCCAGGAGCTTTTTGCCCTTGTACATGTTGGCCACTCAGGCCCTGTAGATGGGCAGCCACCTATAAGGGTTGACGGTCACACAGAACAAGACCAAGGGAGGGAAGGAAGATGGTTTAGGTGGCCCTTCTAGCCCCAGCCTGTCACAGGGCAGCCTGACTGGAGGTGAAGGGGGTAGAATCTGAGTCTCTCCTCGGTAAACAAGACCAGTCTTCTCTTTAATATGTATTTGTTTCACTGACTTTTGGTTTAGTTATTTGAATAGATAACACAGTCACTGTATGGCAAATACGCAGCAAAATGCCCCCCGCCCCCAACCAAGTGCCCGCCCTGCCCCTCTTCCCGCAGGTAACACCTGGTTTCCTGTGCCTCCTCCCATGGTCACTGAGGCATGTATAAACAAATCCAGAGACATGTTCTTATGTCCTCACCCACCTGCCTTGGTTTTAAAACAAAATATAGTATTCACTAATACTGTTTAATACCTCGCTTTTTGCACTTAATATATCTGAGGGATTTTCCATGAGCATTCACAGAGATTTCTGGGGTGTTTTAACAGCTGCAGAGTCCTCCCTCTGTGGCCACACACAACCCCCTACTGGTGGCAGCTGGGTTCAATTGATCTCTTAAGACTCCAGCTTCTCTTTTTACTCCAAGGTAAGTTTATGACGAAATGGGCCCATTGAAAAATCAGAAAAATCAATGGGGAAGTAAAAGAAAGTTATCTGAGAAGAGTGCATGGGAGCAGAAATGGCCAAATCGATGGGTCCCCAGCCATGGGTCTAAAGTTTTCTTTGTCCTTGCTGGACACTCATGTTGACCTCTGATGACCCCACTGTGTACCACTTTTCAGTTCAATTTTAAAACTTCTGCTTTGGTCCAAGTGGGAATAAACACTCTGCTCACCCCCAAACCCCTGCTTCTCTTAGCAGACCTGCAATATGTTGAAAATTTTTTTTAAAGATTTATTTATTTATTTATACAAGCACTGGGTACAGTCAGAAGCGCGGGAGGGTGAGAGAATTCACCAGAGCCAGAGCGGAGAGCAGAGCAGGCAGAATGATGAAGTACACTGCTGAGGGGAGCAGCGGGCAGCAGAAGAGGTCTGAGCGCCATGTGGAACACTCACCTGGTGGCCGGGATTGAACCGGCGCTGCAGAGGCTGCGGGCAGCTTCGCAACCCAGTGCTCAGCCGCTGCGCTACCGGGGAGGCCCTGCAATATGTTGAATTTTTAAAAGGAACCTGATTAGCTAGAAAGCAATCCAAAGAATGAGAAGCAAAGAGAAGATAAAGAGAACCCACTGGAAGAGCTGAGAGCGTGATGCACAGTGTTTTATCCTGGGATGCCAGCCACTGAGTCACCCTTTCCTTTTAGCCTGTCGGTAGGCCTTGGTGTGGGGCAGACAAATGCCCAGAAGCCAGTTGTCCCTATTTTGGTCAGAATGAAAAAGAAAGGGCCCCCAGGCCACCGCCCTTGCAGAAGGGATCGTAGAGGGAAGCAGTGGGTTGTGGAGCAGTCCCAGCCCATCAGAGGGGTTCAACTGGTGGTTCATCTGCTATAAGAGGGGACTTCCTATGCCACACTCCACAGAGCCTCAGTCACTTGGCTAAAGACATGGTGTGGCCACCCCTGAGAGGATGGGCTGGGCTGCAGAGGGACCTTGAGCCAATGCCAGCCCTGAGCTTGCTCATGGAGCACACTCAGCCCATGCTCCAGGTGCAGCCACGGGTAGAGGTGATTCTTCCAAGATTGAGGTCTGGTGATGCCCCCACTAGCTTGTAGGCCCAGAAAATATCCCCAAGAGTTTCTAGAGACCTTCCCAGCACCCCCTGAGGCCATGGTGCTGCTGGGGGCCTGAATCTGGAATGAAAGTGGCACTTAAGTAGGATAAAGAGAGGAAGCTGCAGCTGTCACCGTCAACCCGAGGAAGGAAATCCCCAGTGGCTACTGGCCCTGAAAGCAGCCCACCTCACCTATTCCTACCATGTAAGCATCTTTCCTTTTTAGTAAAAACATCTAGAGAGGGAAAACCAAAACTTCCTTACATCCCATGTTGTCTAGCCACCAACTCCTCCAGGAAATCACACTCTGTCTTGGGATTTCCAAGATGGTCAGCAGACCTGAGGATAATCCACTTTGCTTATTCTAGCACAGTGCTTAATGTTTGCTGAATGAATGAATGGCTAGATGGATAGAAGGTAGGACGAAAGGACGGAAGGACTGACAATAGTGGATGGAGCGTGGATGGATGGACAGGGCAGCGCTTTTAGTAGGTTATACGAAGTCACTAGGGGAGAAATGATGTTTTGATTGGAATTTCCAGGAAGAGGACTCTAGCTAATAGCCTCACCCACTGTGGAGATGGTACCATCACTGAGATGCTGGAGACTTGGGATGGAAATTCATGACCCCATGCCCTTGCCTGAGCTGTAATATGTACTGGTTGCTGGGGCAGGTGGAGTGGATGCCCTCTCCTCATCAGGAGGGGCAGAAGGTCTGCAGTCACCTTACCTCCTCACCCCCTCTCAGGCACTCATATAGTTCCTCATGTTGCTATAGTGTTGGTGCAGACTGTCCAGGACGCTGGCCTTGTTCAAGAAGGTCGTGTCTGCCATATCGTTGGCCTGGTAGAATTTGGGTGGGTTCATCTGCGGGATGTCATCCTTCACTGTGACAGTCTAGGGTGTGGGTGGAGGCAAACAGCAGCAGTAAAGAAATATTACTGTCACAGCCACAGCAGTGTCTGTGTAGTTTCTAAATAGCAAAGCACTTTTCCAATAAAAATAGATCCCCTGCTCCCGCTAAACCACCTTGAGGGATAAACCTGTAAGCAAACAAAGAAAATAATGAATGTCAAAGAGTAGGTGTGTTAGGGTGAAAATCACACAGCATTTAGAGTCCAGAGCTCCTGTGCAAGGTGGGTAAATTCTGCCCTGTCTCTACCCCCCCAGTTTCTTCAACTACTAGTGAAAACTAGCACCAGATCTTAAGTTCCAGCATCTGGGACCAAGCTTTAAAATGTATGATCAAGAAAACAAATATCTTGAGCTGCCTGCAACCTGGATGTGAGGCTTGACCACATAGTGGGCTTTCTGGCACCTTCAATCATTTATGAGTCTAATAAGCAGATCATTTGAAATCTTGACCGTTCTGGAAAATCCACCCAGTAATGGTTACCACATCACTAATAAATCAAGATGGCTTTATTCATAGTCTATTTCCAGTAGTTTCCAGATCTTTGGGCCTCGCCCACATGCAAACACTTCTCTTTCAGCTCTAGCTGAGGGATGGTGGCCTTTGCCTTTATCTTAGGAGGCAGGTGAGTCAGTCTTTTCTGCCCCAAACCTGGCTGGCTTGTCCACTATGGATGCTCGTGGAACTGAAGAGTCCTTAAATTTGCATCCAAACTGGGACTTCTAGACTCTGCTTTCATCCCCACCACTCCTTGCAACACTGCAATGCCCTGCTCACTGAGGATTAAGCTTGACTTTCATGTTCAAACTCACTTGAACCCAGCCATTGCCTCTTCTCCGTCCTGCCACTCCCCAGAATGGGAGTTGTGGGGCCTCCCCGGTGGCGCAGCGGTTGAGCGCTGGGTTGCGAAGCTGCCCGCAGCCTCTGCGGCACCAGTTCGATACCTGGCTGCTCCCTGGCCACCGGAGGAGGGTCCCACATGGCGCGCAGACCTCTCCTGCTGCCCGCTGCTCCCCTCAGCAGTGTGCTTCGGTCCTTCTGCCTGCTCTGCTCCCCGCTCTGGCTCTGGTGAATTCTCTCACCCTCCCACGCTTCTGACTATACCCAGTGCATGTATAAACAAAACAAAACAAACAAACAAATAAATAAATAAAACATGCCTCTATAAAAAAAAAAAAAAAGAATGGGAGTTGTGGCACAAAATAAAAAAAAAAGCTGAGCGTTTGCAAATTCTGAAATCATGGAAGGTCCTTGGCTTCTTTTATTAAAAAACTAACCAAGGAGTGACCTCCCATTCCCCGCTTGCAGCCCCACATTGGGATAGCCTGCCCTGTAGAGGGTGTTTGAGCCAAATGCTGCTGGGTTGGATTCTGAGTTCATCAATTACTATTTTTGTGATCTCAGGCAAGTTACCTAAAATAACCTTGATCCTTATTTTCCCTCCTCTGCAAAGTAGAGTCAATAAATCCTATTACATGAGGTTATTGAAAGGAATAAACAAAATGTCCTGTGCCTCACCAGGAGTCAGTCACAGGGTGGGAAGTTAATAAACCAAATTTTCTATCTGCTCTCTCAAGCGATCCCTCACAGTCAGACAATGCAGACTAGGAGAGAGAGAGAGTGGTGTGCTGGTAAAGCGGCTGTTTAGGGGGCAAAGGGGAGGAATCCCTGATTTGTTTCATTTGCCAATTCCCAGGGTGTAAATGCTTCCATTGTGGCTGATGCCAAGCTGCCAATGGTTTAGCGACTGGCTGAAGAGCCCCTGAATGTTTGGAGTCCTCACAAGCCCAGAGTCCTCACAAGCCAGCTCCAGTGCACCACACAGCAGCAAGGGCCTATAATTCAAGCAGCTGAAGAGCTCACCCCAGTTGGCTAGGATGTTTCAGGCCCTGTCTTACATTGCTCAGGCCCTTGTGGGTACATAGGGGAGCTGCCGTGGAAAGGATGCTCCCTCTCACTCTCAGAAAATGGGTTCCACCTGGGAGCTGTCTGGGACTTTAAAGATAAGTAACTCTCACCATAATCTCTTGCCTGCATCTCTTACAGAGTGTATAAAGTGCTTTCATGTGCCCTAACTCGTTTCACTCTCCATTGTGATGGACCCAAAGCTCAGAGAGGGCAAGTGTTTTGCCCAGGGCCACACAGCATGAGTGTAGTTGAGTCTGAATTTGAACCTAGCACTGGGGACTCAGAGGCATCTGTTCTTCTTGCCATCCTGCCTCCTGAGCAGAAGTGTGTGTGCACAGCAGAGCCAGGCTGTCTGTTCAATTTCACCCTAGAGATTAGTTCCCACTCACCTGGTTGGTGACTGTCTTCACGGTAACCTGATCACCCTGTTCATACTAGATCTCCCCAACAATGAAGCCCTCCTTCTTGTCTTTGAATCAGCAGGACTTCTTGCTATCACAGGACTTGTTCATGGCTTCCAGCCTCTCCTTATCAGGAGGAGCCAGGAAGGGCATCGGGTCCACATCGTCCCCCCATTTGCCTTTGTACCAACTGGGCATCTTGGCTTGGCTGAGGGAGGAGCAGGAAGGAACTGAGTGTGGGAACCAGGACTTCCCGGGGTGTTGCAGGGGAAAGAAAGGACAGCTTGCCAAGACTGATACAGGCTGGAATGAAAACCCTGAGAGACAGCGTTTGCTTCTCTCATATCACTTTGCATGTCTGGGTGCCATTAGGTCTTAATAACCAAGAATAAGAAATAAGCTAATAGCGCCTCAGAGTTGTGTATCCCACGCTAATCACAAAATGCTTCCGCATCTGCCGTTTCATGTGCTCCTTGTGCTGAGGCTGTGAGGATCAGGAAGCTCTTTGGTGGAGGAGAAGATGAAATCCAGAAGAGGTTAAAACAAGAACTTTCAGGGAGTTGGGGGGGCAGTTAAAAAATAAAAAACAAAAAAGAACTTTCAACCATGAAATGGGACAACAAAACAATTACCACTTGTTTTTTTTACTTTC